CCAATAATGGTCTTGATAACCAAAATTGGGTTCGGGGATCGGTTACATGTAGGGAAGGTATTAAGCACCCCTACAGCGCTCTCAATCGGTACCCTATGATGAAGTTAACGTGATAAGAATTAATAAATTAAATATTAGATCCCCTTTATTAATAACTATTTACATGCTTGGAACTTAAATTATACAATTAACCCTAAAATGTCTACATGATTGTTTTTATTATAATAATAATTATTATAGATAAGAAATAAAAAAGAGATAAAGAAATTAACTGAAATACCTCTTGAATGAGCTCTATTGGATCTTCAAAATAGGGAAATTTTAGGTTCTTTGTGGCAACCTTTCGCACTACAATTGCCTCACAATACTCAAGAAATACAATAGGAGAGAGAGAGAGAAATTTCGAGCTCTAAGGAGTCCTAGACGAAACTTTTGGGGCTCTTGAGAACTGTGTCTGAGACTTCTATTTATAGGCATCAGATGTGGGCCGGAAAGACCCGTTCTGGATTCGGAACGGCCCGTTCCGGATCCGAACGTTATGTGTTAATTTGGCACCCTAGAACTACCCGTTCTAAAATCAGAACAGGCCGTTCAGGAAACCAGAACAGTCAAGCCCTGTGATAACCCTATTGGGGACCATTACTGCTGAGAGGAAGAAATACGAAGCAAACATTTCGAAAAAAAAAAGAGGAAGAAACACGAAGCAAACACTCCAAAAAAATATTAAAAAACGTGAATTTCATTATAATTAACGTGGATATTGAATTGTAAATAATTATAAAATTATAAGTGATTTGGATCACACATCATCGACACGTCATCGACAGTACCGGTACCCTTCTTTTACAGAGGGTACGGTACCCTCTGTAAAAAAAGGTACCAGTACTGTCGATGACGTGTCGATGATGTGTGATCCAAATCACTTATAATTTTATAATTATTTACAATTCAATATCCACGTTAATTATAATGAAATTCACGTTTTTTAATATTAATGTTATTACAATGAATGCCCAAATGCCAACACCTTAAACCAAAATTCCCACTTTAAAAACGATGTTCACCGGAACTAAACTTGTCCAAATCCTCAAACCTCAGTTTCCACTCCTTTGATTACGCGTTGAAAAACTTTGATTTATCTTCGTGTTCCCGCCGACCCTCTTCTCTCTCTCTCTAGAAAAAAGAAAAAGAGACTTTGAATGAAAACTAGATTGAGTCTCTTTTAAAAACAAACCAAACTCATAATCTCTCACTATGTCCTTCTTCTTGTGAAGAAGAAGTTCAGAACAATAAAAGCAAAGCAGTCACATAACATAACACCCTTTCTCTCTCTAATGGCCAAGTCCAAGAACAATGCCAAGAAGATGTCTTACATATCAGTTCCTTCTCAGATCATAAACTCCATATCATCTTCTTCTCTTCAATCTCTTCTTGACTCTCCCAAGAAGTCTTCAAGGAACACTAACAGGTTCTTTATCTTCTTCACAAACAGCATCTTCAGGAGTCCTAGACTGTGGTTTTCCACACTCTTT